AAAGGTGTTAACTTTCCCACGGAAGGAAGCCACACGTGCAGCAGGGTTTACCAGAAGTAAGCAAACCGTTTTCTGTAAAGGGTCAAACTAATTATTTTGGGGGCTTGTAGGTCACTTGGGGTCTCTTATCTCAGCTATTCAACTTTGCCACTGCGGACGGAATACCGCAGATGCACACAGTGACTCAGAACCAATCTGCTCCAATGCAACTGTTTGCTAAGCAGGTGGCAGGCTGGACTTGGTGACAAAGCTGTGGTTTGCCAACTCCTGGTTTAGATTAGACATGAGAACTGAAGACCAGGGGTGGCCCGGATGACCCGAGGCTTCCTTGTACTCTAAGCAACCAGCCACAGAACGTATTGCAGAAGTTTCTCCGGGGGTGCTGAGTGGCCAGACCAGCCCTCAGCTTCTCAGGCTGGCCCCAGCAATGTCCTCTGGGGGAGTAAGCGTCCCCCTCAGAGCATCTCGTTAAGACCAGCGCCAAGGTGTGTTCGGGCCTCAAAGGGAAGATGGGTGGAGATGGCTGTGCTAGCCAGGAGCACAGACAGTAGCCAGCAAACATCTGTTTCTCCTGCAGTGACCACAGCACCTGGCTGTGCAGACAGCAGCCTGGGCAGGCCACAGCTGCCTGAGTCACTGTCCACGCCCACGTGGTTACTGCAGACCCCTGGCTGCCCCTTTGTGGCTGGCGGTCTGCTCTCCACTGGGGCTCCGGGAGTTGGAGTGAGGACCTAAGCCACTGCAGAGAGGATCAGGGCTCGTGTCCCACAGCCTCCTGAGCCAGGGACAAAGGCCCTCCTCCTGGCCCAGTCACAGGCACTGAGGACCCCAGGCAGACACCCAGCTTCTGCTGCAGCCACCAGTGAGCCCAGGGCCAGGCAGTGGTGTGGGGCCCGGGGTTAAGATGGGTGAGCCATCTTGGTGCCTTGAAGTGCTGGGGTCAGGCTAGGAAGGGCTGGGTTTTCTCCATCAGAGGAAGAGAGGCCATAAGGTTTCTCTATGCTCAGGCCAGGGGCCAAGCAGCCACGCTCCCTCCCTGTGGGGCTGCTGCAGCTCTGCTCTGTTCCTCCTCTTCCTTCAGAGTTAAAGGCACGGCTCCACCCTGACCTGCACCCTCTGGGGGCCTGGACTGAGAGTCATGGTCACTCAGCCCAGACTAGCCACAAGAGGAGGCCAGAGGGAGCTGTGCAGGAATGGAGGGAGAATCCCCCGGTGGGAGCCAATATGGATCCCTGGGGATGGAGGTAGGTGCCTTGGATAGGGACCTAGACAGGGGACTACAGTGGCACCTCCTCCTCGCTCAGCAGAGCTGAAAGGAGGTACCTGGCCTAGACCATGGTTGCTGACTGGGCTGGAAATCCCCGAGCCTGGAGTCCGTCCCTAGGCATGGTTACCACTTGTCGGAGAGGCCACCAGTCATGCTGTTCTTGAGTGATGACATTTTCCCCACATCAGCTCTGGGTTTCTCTCACTAAGGGACATGAGCTTCTTTAGGCCCAGCAGCCGCCGGTCACAGATGGGAAGGCAGGAAGTCTGCTCTGAGGGGGCGCTTGCCCTCCCTCCCCTCCCCTCCTCTTACTCGGAGGTCCTGTGTGCCCATGTCACAGAATGGTGAAGGAGAGTGAAAACCAGTGCCAGAATTGCAGGGGCTGCTAGCTTACCAGGATCCAGTCAGTTCATAGCTATAACCTGGTCCCAGACCTGGCTCTCAGTCACACCGGCCCTGGAGAGCATGATTCTCGAGTGCTCAGCACAGCCAGTCTCTGGCTGCTGGGTGTCTCTGCCCACTAGACATCAAGCCACAAGCAGCTGCCCTGGTACGCCAGATGGTGGCACTTCCACTTGACAAAAGTCCAGGGCACCTGGGTCACAATCAGATGCTAGACTCAGGATAGGAGAGGCCCAGCCCTGGCTCAGAACAGTCACCTCTCTGCACTCACCACCTCGTCCAGGATGCCTGGGACACATCAGAAAACCTTTCTCTGAGGATCGCAGCTTCTCTCAACTGGTTAAAGCCATCAGCAATTGGATGGGAGATCAGAGGAGACAATGACTTCCCTGTTTCCAAGTTTTGGGACCAAAAGCGAGGGAAGCCTGAAGCTAGAAGGAACTCCACTCGCACCTTCGCCCTGCTACTAAGACGTGAGTCAAGGTGGTGGGAGGGGCTTGGAAACCAACCAACCTGAGCTCAAATCCTGGCCTTGCTACCTCCACCTGTGGGACCTTGGCCAATGGTTTAACTCTGTGAGCCTGTTTTTACAAATGAAAAAACAGTGACAAAAACGCTCACCCTGGCTAGGTGATGGACAGGTGTCCATGTGCACGGAGTGGACGCTTGCTCAGCATACAGCAGCCACTGGCATCATCAGTCTTACAGGGGACGCCCAAGGATTCAGCCTATCAAGTCTCCTCCAGCCTGAGATGGAGTGCCCACAGCTGTCACCCAGCTTGAGGGGCCTTGTGCAATGGGACACCATCCTAGGCACTTCAGAACTATCTTGTGGGGGAGTCAGTACCCATGACTGTCTCATGGGGGAGTCAATACCCACAACTGTGGCCACAGGAAAGAGAAGCTTCAGGAACCTTGCTGACCCTCAGAAAGAAATGAATGAAAGGGTTGGCCCAGAGCCATTCTGGGGTCAGGGTCCCTTCAGTGGTGAGAGAGCTCACAGATCAGGTGGTGGTTCATTTGCAGAAGGAGCTCAGTGATCATGGAGTCAGCTTTCTGCTGGTGCTGGCCCCAGGGCCCCTGCTATCTATATAAACCCTTCCCAGATGGGGCCCCATGCTTTCCTAGGGAGCCTTCCCTTCCATGTCCCAGAGAGGAAAGGACCTGAGTTCAAATCCCCACTCCGCCATGTGGAGATTGTGAACCCTAGGCTTCCTCGCCCATGAAACATGAACACCACTGTTCACTCATGGAACACAAGCCTGGAACGCCACCCAGTGCTAAGGGGCTGATGGCTTCGCTCTGTTGAATAAGAGCATTTAAAGGGACAGATGTTAACATTCCTCCTATTTAAATACCAGGAAACAAAATGGCTAGCGACCTTAGATAACTGATTCAAGGTCAAGGATCTGGGACCTGGCAGAATGGGACTCTGACCCCAGGTCTGTGTGATCCTATAATTCCATCCACACGCTCATCCATGCATCCACATATGCGTCCATCCACATGAGAAAGTTTGTATACAGCACACTGTGTGCAACGCCAACCACCAAGCAGTAAGCAAGAGACACGGCCCCTGCCCTGGAGAGCCTGCATTTGGTAGAGAAGACAAATAATAAATAAGGCCATTTCAGTGCCAGCAAGTGTCACGGAGGGGGGACCTGGGTGGTGGGCAGACTGGCTGGGGCAGGGGTGGGATGGGATGCCTCGCTTAGCCGGGTCAAAGAAATCTATCCAAGAACTTCAGAGAGATGAGGAGGCCGTAGGCACTAAAGAGCCAGGGCCAGGAAGTACCAAGTCACCATGATCCAGGAGCAGAAGGAAGGCCAGTGAGGCACAGATGCGAGGAGGCTGGACATGCAGCTGGGCCAGACTGGAAACCCTGGGCACCACATTAAGGAGTGGAGATGTTTGTCCTGAGTTTAGTGACCTCTCGTGGGTTTTGGGCATGCACTCACACATGCCCTGCATGATTTTCAAGCTGCCAGGTCGGAGACTCGAACCACAGCTGGCCATGTAGGAATCTAGTACTTAACATTCCTCCTATTTAAATACCAGGAAACAAAATGGCTAGCGACCTTAGATAACTGATTCAAGGTCAAGGATCTGGGACCTGGCAGAATGGGACTCTGACCCCAGGTCTGTGTGATCCTATAATTCCATCCACACGCTCATCCATGCATCCACATATGCGTCCATCCACATGAGAAAGTTTGTATACAGCACACTGTGTGCAACGCCAACCACCAAGCAGTAAGCAAGAGACACGGCCCCTGCCCTGGAGAGCCTGCATTTGGTAGAGAAGACAAATAATAAATAAGGCCATTTCAGTGCCAGCAAGTGTCACGGAGGGGGGACCTGGGTGGTGGGCAGACTGGCTGGGGCAGGGGTGGGATGGGATGCCTCGCTTAGCCGGGTCAAAGAAATCTATCCAAGAACTTCAGAGAGATGAGGAGGCCGTAGGCACTAAAGAGCCAGGGCCAGGAAGTACCAAGTCACCATGATCCAGGAGCAGAAGGAAGGCCAGTGAGGCACAGATGCGAGGAGGCTGGACATGCAGCTGGGCCAGACTGGAAACCCTGGGCACCACATTAAGGAGTGGAGATGTTTGTCCTGAGTTTAGTGACCTCTCGTGGGTTTTGGGCATGCACTCACACATGCCCTGCATGATTTTCAAGCTGCCAGGTCGGAGACTCGAACCACAGCTGGCCATGTAGGAATCTAGTACCTTAACCACTATACTACCTGCTGGCCCCAATTTACACATTTTTGAAAGGCAACTGTGGCCTTAGTTGGTGACCACAGCGGTGAGGGGGTCCCAGCTGTTTCTTGTGGCCATAGTTGTGGGTACTGACCCCATAGTGACAGTTGAGGGACAGTACTGGAGTCCCATTGCACGAAGCCCCTCGAGCTGGGTGACAGCTGGTCCCGAGCACATGGGGCTGGGGAGAGAGCATTGCACACGTGGCAGCATTCGATAAAGACACCTGATAAAATCTCTCCCTGCCCGTCGTCCTCAGAGCCTGGAGTATGATGGCCCTGAGCAGATGCCCAGCCCCCTCCAGGCACCTTATCTTCGCTCTTCCCAGAGTAGGAGCTCAGAGAGTGAGATTAATTAGATATCCTGTGAATCAGTAAAATGTGTTGGGGGGGGAAGGAATGGAAAGCAACTGGTAGGACACTAGAGACAGTGTGGGAGGAGGGTGGGAAATGGCAGGGAGTGAGAAATAGGGGGAAATACACACACACACACACACACACACACACACACACACGAAACAAGAAATGGAAAATTATTTGACGATGATAGCAAGTATGATTAAGCCACTCTACAGTGTATTCTGGATGGGAAATCACGTTTTGTATGCTGTGATCATGCTCAGTGAATGAATGTAAAAGAAAGAAAGAAAGAAAGAAAAACCTCTAAAACAGAAAAATGAAAATATCAGATGCTGGGACTAGCAGTTGGCATAATGGCTATGTCGCTGGACTCCCATGTAGTCGACCACAGTTCGCGTCCTGGACCCGGTGGCTTAAACTCATGCCGGGTGCATGTGCGTGCGTGCCCAAGATCCTGAGAGGAGAATGGAGAAGGGATTGCAGTGTGGCCATCCCCCCTGGGGGGTGATTTCTCGCTTTCTATCTCTCTGTCTCTCTCTGTCTTTCTGGTGAGCACAGGTGCCCTATAGCAAAAACGTCTCAAAAAAAGAAAAGAAATGTCATATGCTGTGGACAGAGACATGTGAGAACTGGAAATCCAAGGGGCCCAAGTCAGGGAAAACAAGGGTTCTGGGCTGACACTTACGATTTTGGGTGGCGGGAGGTCAGGAAGGCTCTTCTGAGGTGCTGAGGAGTGCTGGCCAGGCTCCCCATTGGTCAGCGGACCTTGTCCCTCGGGTGCTGTGGGCAGCAAGAGGAGAAGGATTCTGTGAGGGCTGCCCAGCCTCCCAGCAGGGTCTCGTTACCCAGGAATGTCTGCTCACAGGCATTGTGACTTCTATTTGAGCAGGTGTTAATTACCAGGCAGCTGGTCCCTGGAGCTGAAGTTGTTTTTCTCCAAGAATAGGGTGCAGTAGTGCCCCAGTCACATGGGCAGATTCCTCTGAAGGAAACAGCTTGGAGTTTCTGGCAGCTTCCCCACCCACCTCCATGTCAAAAACAGTCTAGCCACAGAGCTGTACTGGCAGAGTTGCTGCCTGGTGGCCACTATATTGAGCAGCTCTCGGTGCCGACCCTGTGATTAGGGCTCTTTCCTTCCACAGTTTACCGGGAAGGCAAACGACTCTGGGCAGAGTGGTTGCCTTCATCTGGAAGAGTTCTGCCCAGTCCCTGGCTCGACAGTGGGGCAGGAGGTAGAAAAGCCACACTGACGAAGTTAGGCCACCAACTTTCTGTGCATTTTGTCATTTTAAATTTCCTATAGGGTGCTTGAGCTTGCCAGACACAGCTAGAGAGAAAGGGAAGAAGAAGGAAAGCACATCCCGGGGCGATGACCAAGCTGCACCTTCTTCCTCTTCGCTTCTCCTTTTAGGATTTTGGGCATGTACACACACGCCTGGTGTATCCTTCAAGTCACTGGGTCTGGGACTTAAACGGCACAGTCAGCCTTGTGGGATTCAGTCACCCTAACCACCATCGACGGCTCTTCTGACCCTGCCCATGTCAGCCTGCCCAGACAAAGGACAGACAGGTTCGGGCGGCAGCCACTCTGGTGGCTGATGTTTCAAAGGCAAGTCCTGAACAGGACTGAGTGCTTATGAGTGCAGTGTTCTACCTCTCCCGGAGCCTTTGTGGCAGAGTTTAGAGCTTGGGAGTTTTTCTTTTCCTTTCCTTTTCCCCCTCCTCTGCAACTGGGCAACTCTGCAAACCTCTGGTCCTGCCAGACCCATGCTGGAGGCCTTTGGAGAAAAGCAGTGAGTGGAACAGCACAGAAGAACGAGGCTCACAGAAGGTACCACGTGTCCTTCCTATGCAAGAGCAATGCTCTGGCCAAGAGAGCGCCTTTCAATATCATCTTGGAGTACCAAGGTGCTTGCTGACACCCCATCTCTCCCCTCCTCAATAGACATATATCAAGACATAAAGCTGGAATCGTTGGATCGGCACCACACACAGCTGCTTTCTCCGAACATCTGAATTATGACTTCCTGTTCCTGGGATGATGCTGGGAAAAGCCAAGAGATTTTAGGCCCAGATTCCTTATCCAATGGACAAGGAGGGGGTGGCCTGTTGAAATATCCCAAAATACATCAATCCAAAAATACCACACACCAAAAAGTGGTTTCCAGAAATAACTCCCCTGGGTCTGTCTGTGCGCTGGCTGGGAGGAGGGAGGAGCCAGATGGAGCAGAGCTTTGAGCCCTCCCCTCCCAGGAGCCAGGCATCCCATCAGCCATCCCAGCCCCATACCTTGGTCTTGAGACTCAGCATTCTGCTGCTTGTTGACCGTCACTTTGTTCATGTAAATGTACTCCTCATCAGAACCTGCAGAAGACAAAAGGAGGGCCCAGGTTTCACGTGACTTCACAGAGGGAAAGGACATCCAGAGAGATACAGCATCCCCCTCCAGACTTTCATCTGCTTGGGTTCCCGTAAAAGCACACAGCATTTTGAGTTGACTGAAAGAGTACCTCACAAAGACAGTTGGCAGTTTGCCACAAAAGAACCAAGTCGCTGATGCTAGTGTTCCAGCCTGAGCTAGGTGGTGGGGGGGCACGGGGGTGGGGAGAGGAAGGGTAGGGTTCAGGAGGTTAACTTAAGGAATAAAAATCCTTCATTGAAATGCATCCTTACCTCAGAGATCCGCCCCACCATCCACCAAGTAGAGGTGTCTCTGGATTTCCTAGCATCTCCTTTAAACTGTAAAAGGTGGAGTTGGCAGACAGTGTAGTGCTTAAGTTGACTCTCACACGGCTGACCACAGTTTGAATCCTGGACCTGGTGGTTTGAAAATCACGCTAGGGGTGTGTGTGTGTGTGTGTGTGTGTGTGTGTGTGTGTGCGTGCATGTGAGCCCAGGATCCCAGGAGGAGAATAGACGAGAAGGGATTGTGGCATGACCAATCTCCCTGGAGGGTGATTTCTCACTGTCTTGGTCTCTCTCTCCAGCGAGTGCACAAGTCCTATGGCAAAAACCTGAAAGAAAGAAATAGAAGAAGGTTTCCTGCCTTCATTCTCACCCTACTCTCAATTACTTGAATGTGCTAATAGGAGTGATGCACAGGTCAGACAAATCAGTGAGAACCCTGAAGTGCAGCAGCCAGGGCTTCAGGTGGTGTGCCATTGTGTGTGTGTGTGTGGGGGGAGAGAAGGTGGTGTGCCATTGTGTGTGTGTGTTTGTGGGGAAGGTGGTGTGCCATTGTGTGTGTGTGTGGGAGGTGGTGTGCCATTGAATGTGTGTGTGTGTAGGGGGGGAAGGTGGTGTGCCATTGTGTGTGTGTGTATGTGTGGGGAGGGTGGAGTGCCATTGTGTGTGTGTGTGGGGAAGGTGGTGTGCCATTGTGTGTGTGTGTG